CGTCTTATTCCAGTTATAACATTTTATTCTCTGTAGTTATTTCTGTTGCCTTTCTGTCTCTGTATTATTTTCTTTCATGTTCAGCTCTTGTGTTCCCAGTGATGAGCTGTAAATATAAACCTTTTATGGCTCTCAGATGGAAACAGGCGGTCGTGTTAAAATCATCTCTCTGCTGCATCTTTAGCAGCTCCTGTTTCACCAATCCAGACTAATTTATCCAGCTGCTCCAAACTTTTTACACTAAATAAAACTCAGAACTAAATCCTCTGATTCTCTGCAGGAAAGCAGCTAATTTCCTCTGGGATCCTCAGGCTGCTGTAGTCAGCAGCTGTTCCTGTAACCTGCTGCTCCTCTGAGGCTCCGACAGGAACATCCTGTTACTAAGGTCCTTCACCACAGCCCAGAATACAGCATCAGCCTGGAAACAGGCAGCAACATCAGCCTGGAAACAGGCAGCAACATCAGCCTGGAAACAGGCAGCAACATCAGCCTGGAAACAGGCAGCAATATCAGCCAGATGAAGAAGAAGATGATGATGATGATGAAGATGAAGATGATGATGATGTTGAGGAAGATGATGTTGATGATGATGATGGTGTGCCTGTGAGGGTTCCATCAGTGCAGTGATGATGCTGTGGGACCGTCCCTTAAACTGCAGGCTGGAATCCTGCAGTTTAAGGGACGGTCCCGGGGGGGGGGTCAGTGTGGCCCCCGTTCTGAGTCACCAAGCCGTTTCCATCAGCAGCATCTTCTGCTGCTCAGAAAAGAACCAGTTTGAGGTTCTTCATCCCTGTGGATCCCAGTGACACGCCCCCTCCATATATGGTCATACCGCTTCCTCTTCAGGTCGCTGTGGTACTACCTGTTTGGGAAAACTTCCCTCAGCCTTAAAACAGACAAATTTATTCAGATTTTACAGTTAATCTACAATAAGATCAAACGTTCCCACATGTTACCTGAACTTTCTGCTCCGTAACTATTTCTGTGCCCCCCTCCCCTGCTGAAGTAGATCACCATAGCAACCAGTGAGTCAGCACCTCCTCCAGGGAAGGAGACACTCCATCACTGGTTCTGCTTTCTGGTTCTAAGCTGGAGCGGCGAACGGACCCGGTAGAACCCACGGCGTGCAGCAGGCGCCATGTTTCTCCTCATGTTGATGTCAGCCTGTCGCTTTAGTGACGGTTTGTTCTCATTATTCTGCTCATGGCGTCCCTTTGATGTGGGAGCGGATGGCTGCAGCCTAATCACATTTTAAATGATATTCAAAGGGAGCACACCTTGCTGGCTGCTACGCCTCACAGATCTGCTGCAGCAGGCGCTGCTCAGCTGCTGCTTAGTCATTCCTCAGACGTCCTGCATTGTAAATAAACTGTTAGAATCTTCTAAGTACAAGCCCACAGCTTTAGGCTGAAACACGCTGCTGCTTTACAGCCTCTCTTTGTGAATATCTCTTTGTTATTTCTCTCAAACAAGCCCTCCGCTCGCTGACACCAGGCCGCCGCGCAGACATGCCTCCAGTCTAAACCTGAGCATGGACAGTAAAGACTGAGGCGCATCGCAGACCAGCAGCTGGATTCAGAAACATGCAGAATAAAGATTCCTCCCCTTCAGGAGGCTTAAAGCTTTCTGTCCTCATTAGCAGCAGAAATATATCAAATCCAAAAAGAAAACTGAATCTTGCTCCAAGTTGTTGTTGTAATACCTCTGCTTTACCAGTAGGTGGCAACAACACCGACATTAACGGCCTGCAGATAGAAAAGGAGAAACTGGTCTGAGCGTCAGTGGTTCACCATTTTATATGAGTGT